TACCTTTTGACTTGTGCTTCATGAAGTAAACCCACACCTCCTCGAGTGATCATCGATAAAGATGACATAGTATCTCGAACCGTCAAAAAAAATACACTGGCTAGACTCTATACATCTGTATGAATCAACTCTAGCTTCTAAGCCTTAGGTGGCCTTCCACCCTTCTAGAAACTAACCCTCTTCCGCTTTCCAAAGATGCAGTCTTCACAAACCCCGACTTCCACGGAGTCGATCCCTGTTAGCTTTCTCTGTGAATGGAAGATCTTCATCCCGTTCTCGTTCATGTGCCCTAGCCTGTTGTGCCATAGATTTGTACTCTTTTTACCAGCTATAATTGCGAGGGTGTCACTCGCATGTGAGGTGAGGTAGAGAGTCCCTAATTTGTTGCCTCGGGCAACTACCATCGTACCGTTGGAGATTCTCTATGAATCCCATGTGAATGTCGAAATATAGCTTTCTGTTCCAAGCTGTCCCGCCGAAACAAGATTCCTCTTCGGCTTCAGTACGTGTCTCACGTTCTTCAAGTTCCACTTAGAGCCCTTTATCTGAATCTACACATCACCCTTTCCAACAATATTACAGGGCTTATTGTCTCCCAAATACACTTTTCCAAAGTCCCCTACTATATAATTCTGAAGAAACTTCTTATTAGCAGTGGTGTGGAAAGAGGCTCATGTGACGCCCCATGGTTCACACAAGGCTGTAGTCCAAGGTGAAACCCAGATTGTTAAACCTGCCAAGCACCAAATATCATACTACAACATATTTCACCATCACAGTCACTATCTCTCTAGTGGAATCAACACATAGGTGAAGGTACTAAACAGGCAAATAATGGAAGTAGAGCAAAACCAGATATACACAGAAGAAGCATGAAAATAATCATCAGTAAGCCCAACAAAATAAGATGGAGATATCTCTGAGTCTGAAATAAACCTCAAGTACAAAGAGTCAAATAAGGTACCACTATGGCTCTTAATCTCTACAAAATGAAATAGAAGTCTAGAATCTGACATAAACAACTAACTGTGGAGTTCTGAAATAACTACTAAATAATAAATAACTTGATGGAATTTATGAAAAATTCTCATCAACCTGCGACTCTCCGTGTGCCGGACTCGCTGCCTAAAAGAAGGAAAAACAACGAGCGTCAAAGCGCTATAGCGAGATCATCTCCACCTCTCCCCAGGGGAAGGGGTAGGAGAATATAAAAAAAATAGAGTTAATACATATACATTTGAAATCATTCATAAAATTCTAACTAGAAATTAATATTTAGGAAATCACAACACGAGAGTTAGTACGTCGAGCGAAATAATCCAAACAAGAAAACCCTCATGTATATACCATGTCTCAAATTGTGACTCCCTAAATACCAACTCCGAACCCTATGAATGAAAATAGTAAACCAAAAGGAAAACACTCCAAACCTCAATCAAATATCCGTCTCAATTTATACTCGAAAAGACAACTCTAACATAAGAGGGATCTCATCCAAAACAAAAATCAACTATGAGCCATATCATGTGAGCCACAATCCCAAAGAAAATACCCTACTCACGGGAATCCAATATGAAATCAAAATACGACAAATAAAACTTACATGTGTGCATCTCCATATGCAATAGTGATATTTTTATAATATTCTTACTCAATCGCTCTGCGGCAATAGGTTTTATCTCCTTATCCCGGAATACAATGAAATGACGATACTTTTGTGATATGTTCACTCAATCGCCCTGCGAAAATAGGTTTTATCTCCCTATTCCGGAATACAATGCAATATGCTATGCTCTTCATGTTCATCAACTTGAACTAGAACAAAAACACACTAATACAACATATTCTAACCATTCGTGCACGTATCTCGGTGTGCATGTCCATATCTAGTGTTTACTGACATCTCAGGTGTTAAACAACTCATAAACATTGTATCATGATAGTACAAGGTTGAGAGGCTCGCTCGACAACTCAAACAGTCGAAACAAACATACACATGGACACTTATAGATTAAACAGTCGAAACAAACATACACAGGGCCACTTATAGATTGGCGGTCGACCGCGATTATGCGGCGGTCAACCGCGACTGATTCCTGGGCTTACCTAGGTCTCGGTCCTGCACGCGGTCGATCGCCACTAGGGCGCGGTCGACTGTGGGCTAAAATTACAGATTCTCAGGCTGGTTTTGTGTGTCGTGTTCATGTCGTGTTTAGGTGATTCAAACATGATTAAAACAACATGAAACTTGCATGAAAATATGTCTACAGCAGATAAAAACTTCTGGAAACAAATCCAACATATATAGCATGATTATTTGCATAAAATTCATATCAAAAACCCTAATTCTTGCACATGAACTTGAAATAAAGCACAAATCATCTTTCATCAGATTTAAACCACTTTTAAATAAATTTCAGATCTTATTTACTTCTGTAAAAATCGTTCTTAAACTTTTTAACATGGAAAGACCTAGTCTTTATACATATAATACAAAGAATTGACTTTTATACATAAACTAGTCAATTTGGCTCTATAAAACATGTTAAAAGCTCTTTAAAAATGTTTTAAAAACTAGGAGGGGGATTAGCAGAGATGAACTCGCCTGGGGTTTGTAGAAAAACGCTTAAGAAACCAAGCCAAAGAAGATCTACAAGCCAAACGCCAAAAATCCCGCGAAAAATTAGAAAACCGAAACCAACTCAAAACAGGAAACAAGTCTCTACAGGTTTCGCAGACGACCGTTCGCGGGCGACCGCGGCGGGCGACCGGACTGGAATTTTCTAGTTTTTCATGTTTTTAACTTTTGTGCATGTTTTGACTCTTTTCTTTCTCATATATGAACTCGTTCATACTCAAAATACATGGTATCATATTTATAGACCATTTAACTATATTTATCAAAATAAATATTCATAAATCATAATTAATCTCATATTAATTATATTAACATGAATTTTTTTGGGGTTTTACAGCTCCTGAGTCGATTACCCAAGAATCTGAATCGCTGTCCATAGCAAGGATCAAAACATCATGCACGATATGAGCCTCCTGCTCACTCGTATCCTTCTTTGGACTCTTACAGACTGAAGACATATGGCCTCCAAAGCGCGGTCGACCGCACCAACCGCCGCGGTCGACCGGAAAAAGTCCAGAGACTTTTTCTGTTTTTGTGCACGTTCACGGTCGACCTCCGAGAGCATCGCGGTCGACCGTAATGTAGTTTTCCTGTTTCCTTCGTTTTGCTTCATCTTCTTGATTCCAGCTCCGGCTTTAGCTTTGAGTCTACACTTAGACTAACAATCTTGTTTTTGCAAAAGTAGTAAATGTGATGAAAGCATCTAGCGAAGATGATCCGTGGTATTGAATATGCATCCAAATGATATCAATCTTTGGATAAGTGCATGAATTATAAAGTTTGATGACCCAATAGTTGCTGACTCTTGGATGCACATTTAATGTCATAAACTGTTGCCAATGAATGTATACTTTCTCATAAGTGCGAGGGGGTCATAAATGCTCCAAACAACGTGAGTAACCAATTAATTTATCCAAGGCTTTAGTTAGAGAAATCTTAGTTATCGTGCCTTTGTTCACTCCCATCCAAGAGATAGAGAAAAGTCCCTTAGAGCATCTCCAACAGCTTCCCCAAAAATTTCTCCAAAATGGGGAATCAAATGTCATATTCTCCAAATTATTTTTGCTCCAACTCCAACAGCTTCCCCATTTTGAAGAATCATACATTTATTACAATAATAAAAATATTCTACATCTTTGACTAATAAATAATAAATTATTTATTATTTTGAAGAATCCCCATTTTGACCAAATTATTTATTATTATAATGAGGAGATGGAGTTGTTTTTTGTGGGTTGAGTCTAGAAGAACGTGAAAAAGTGCTTCCCCAAATATTTGCAGAATGCTGCAGATTTGGGGAAGGCTCTCTATTTTTTCTCTCCTATCCCCATTTTGAAGAATGAGATGGGGAATCTGTTGGACCAAAAAAAAGCTTAAAATGCTCCAAATTTTAGAATACCAAGAAGATGGGGAAGCTGTTGGAGATGCTCTTACACTTCGGGATCTTTTAAAAGATGCAAAATTTTAGGGAAGCGGTACTTTAAAGTACCTAACGAATGCACTCTCCAACAGCTTTAAGAGAAGGGAACAAAGAAGCAATTATCTCCTCGCGTTCTGAGCATTGTGGTTTGAGGTGTCTTAATAATCTTCAGCGCTTGAGGTACAGTTAGTTGCAACTTAAATAGAGTGTAGTCACAACTACTCCTTACTCAGTTTAGTGGATCCTCACTTGGCTTGGCTAGAGAGTTGAGCTTGTGTTTGCAAAAAAAAAAGAAAAAAAGGACGAGAACCAGTTTTTATTTCATTTCCCCCCCTCTTGACGAGGTTAAAGATTGGATCCGATAACCTATTGGTTCAACCAATCCGTGGTTATAGAGAGTCAATTTGTGCACTCCTATTTTCGTATATGATGCCACAACCAGGTTTATATGTTGGAACGGACACCACTAGGATTTGTAGTTCGAAAATACTAGGCGTCAAGTTTAGGCGCCCCATACAAAAACAGATTTGCACACCCAGAACAAAGAAGGGGATTTTTATATACATAATACATCTGTTTTGATTTTTCTTTCTTTCTTACCGGCTCTCTCAGAACGATCAGCGACTTGACGGACCGTTTCCGAACTTTTAGAGTTAAAAGGATTTCACCATACGATTTCAACCGCAACATATGTTTATTTCTACAACGTTGCTGTTTGGCTCGTGGCCGCTCAGCGATCAGCACGCAAGAGAGAAACAGGCGGTGGGACCCACCTGTGGGGGTCCAAGGTGGGCCCCACCCCTGTTTACTCTCTTGCGTGCTGCCCGCCGAGCCTGGGCGGCGAGCCAAACAGCACTATGGATTATGTCAGCCAAACAACTCTAAGCTTGTCACTAGTGAAAATATACAGCGTAACGCGTTTTAATTATCATGGATCACATATTTGCTGCCCCATGAAAGCTTTTCTAAAAAGCAACATAGTTTACAAGTGGAAAACACCTTATTCACTCACAATCAATGTGAAAGCCACATAAAACTTTACCACATCAAACGTGACTCCAATCTTTTCTCAACATTTTAGGCTCGAACATTATTATAATCAAGTTCCAGCGGTAAACTAGATATACAATATAACATGAAAGTAGGTCTCAACCAAGAGTTTGTAAGTTTCTCAAACGCTCCATATCACAAGGGATACGCTTATAAAAGTTTAACACCGCCAACCAGCTTCTCTCAATTAAATTCTGTGATAGCTGCCATAAGCATCTTCATCATTATCGTCATCATCTTCATCATTATCACCAATTCAACGGCTGCTGATGATGATATTTTTGAGCCGTCCTAGGGGCGCCATTGCACCTTTCGTCTTCTGTTACGGTAATCAACAAATGAGAAGCAACAAAAATCACAGCTTCAACATAAAACAGAATCAGAACATGATATGATCAAGGGTTAGCGGCGGGATAGACCGTGTGTACTATAGCCTAAATGCGGATAGACAGACCCCTGTAGTCCTATTTGAATGGATAGATCCCCTGTAGTCCTATTTGAATGGACAGATCCCCTTAGTGAACTCTTTAAATAGTTTGTAATTTCAAAGAAAGGATTACTTGTGAATGGACCCCATGTACTACCACCAGATTGTGAATAGCCCCCCTATAGTTCTATTTGTAGCGAATAGACCCCCCATAGTATTGGCGTAGGTGCGAATACTCCCCTTAGTGAACTTTTTCGACTCTCTTAAAAGTCAAAAAAAAATTAGTAATTGAGGGTCTATCCTTACCAATAGAACAGGGGTCCACCCACCTCCTTAAACCTTTTTAACAAATTTAAGAGTAAGAAAATTCACTCAAGGGGCCTATTCGTAAAAATAAAACTGCAAAGAGTCTATTCATAATTCAGTGATACTACAAGGGATATGTTCGCAATTGACCCTAAAAGAATCACTTTGGGGTTCTATCCGCACTTGGGGAAATAGTGCAGGGGATCTATCCCCACCAATTAAACTGCAGGGGGCGGGGTCTATTCGCAATCGAGGGTCTATCCACAGTTAACCCTATGACGAAACTGCTTGCGAAAAGTTTAACTAGCCAAATAGATAAGGTAAATTTGCCAAAGTGAATTGTCCTAAACTTTTCCTTAATATATTTAGTATTTACTCCATTGATATGCATAAGAAATATAGAGAGTAAAGGAGGGTTGAATGGTTGATATGTCTCTCCATGCATTTCGCTGGTGTATTGCACATGGGGCCAGCATCCAGACCGCTACAACCTAAATCACCATACCTAGACCATCGTCGATGGCTTAGATTTGTATCATCTCAGCAACATACTAGCCAACAATATAGATGGACACACAATGGATATTGGTTATTTACAAAACTAATGAACATCGATAAAAGACCTTTTATAAAAAGAAAGGATGGTTGGTCACTTGCATGGACTGGGGAAGTTACATAATTAGTTCTATATGTTAATTTTCTTATACAAACCGTCCAAAAAACATCTTGAGAGAAAATAAATCAACTGAAGACTCCATTAAAGTGTGAAACTAGTAAAATTTCTGTAAAGAGCAAGAAGAAAAGATGCAAATCAACTAGCACTTTGAAACCATTACGGCCCCTTTTGTGGCTGAAACTTCCAAATGTATGCAACTTCATCGCTTCTTTCAACAACACCTAATTGTTTTGTCGACCATTTTACTATTATTAAGGTCTTTCCTATATGTGGCTTAAATATACATATGCCTAAAAGATCATAATTGGCCCTTGTGGATGCTTGCGAGCATTTGTAATGGTATGGGAATCAAAATCTTCAACTTATTATAAATGTCAGGGGAAAAAAATAATTGAAAGAAAGACTAAAACAAGAAGACAATTATAATAAGTAATTAAGCACCTTAGCTGCAGACAAACACCCCCCAGTGTCAACTTTCAAGTACACCAAACTTTTGTCAATTACTACACAAGGACGAATATCGTGCATTTAATATAGAAACAACCAACAATGCCCAATCAATTAGGATCTCTACCAAAAAAGACTATGAATCAGAAGTGAAGTTCAAAAACCCCAAAACCCACCCCCAAAAAGTAAGTATAACAGTAATAAAAATAAAATAACTGCAGGTTTCACTCGGGTTGCTCCGTATGCTGCAATTATAGATGCAGCAAATGTTGTGCAATATTGTTGCAATTATAGATGCAGCAAATGTTGTGCAATATTGTTGCAGGAAATTAGCTTCAAATCAGTCATTTGGTTATCTGCACTTTTGTTGTGAGAGTTATATTTCCATATGTAAGTCAGTGTAGAGTAGTCGTAAAAGCTGTTGGATTGGCATCTTTTATTGCAATAAATGTACAGTTTACTAGCAGTTCAATTTTCCTCAAGTTGTGTTACTAACAAAGTAACAAAGATAACCTGCTGGTTCTGCAATCTCTACCACTGCTAACCTAAAATTCTAATTCACAACCTCCCTCGTCATTGCCACTAGTTCTTTACTTTACCTCTTCCTCCTTCCAATCCCACACCCCATTCTCTTCTCACCCAACACCCTTAGGGTGCCACCATCTCCATCTCCCATCCACTACCTCTTTCTCAAATGGTACACAAAAAACAATGATGAATGTGAGGGTAAATAGCAGATAACCCACTAGTCCATACCTTCAGTAGCACTCATCAACCCTCAACTCATTTACTAGCACTTATCTCTCCTTATCTTATGAGGAAGAGGGGAATAATCTGAAACTTACTCCTTCTCAAAATGCCAATATAGGGGCTATAAATGCCAATAAATTGCATGATCATCACATTTGTGAAAGATTACTACTAGTTGGTAAACAAAGAAATATCATTTCAAATTCCTCCTTGTAGATCAAAGAGGGAGGTAAAAGAGGTAAAGTCAGAAAATAGGTTGTAGGCTTGTAGCTAGGGGTGTCCATTTGGACCCAAGGCCCGGGCCCGGGTTTGGACCAGAAACCCGGGTTCTGGCCCCACGTACGGGCCTCCTCGTCGGCGCTCGACCCAGCCCAGCCGTAAAAACGGTCGGGCTAGGTTAGCCGGGCCGGCCCATGGTCCGGCCCGAATGCAACGGTCACTTACGTGACTGTTACAGGGCAAATGCCAGCCCGAACCGACAAAAACAGTCACATAAGTGATCGTTTTTTGCCACAACGGTCAAAATTTGACCATTGTGACCGTTTTGACTCACAAAACGGTCAAAAAACAATAAAAATAAGGGTATTTTGATCATTTGTCTAAGGGTTGTCTCTATAAATAGAGGGTGTTTTCATTTGTTTTCCTCATCCAAAACTCATCTACTTCTCTGAGTTCTCTCTAATACTCTCTTATACACTCTTATACGCTCTTATACTCTCTTATACTCTCTAATAATCGCTTTAGCTCTCTAATTCTTCAATCAAATGGCTTCCGGATCTGATTATAAAGAGCAAAAGCCAACTCCGGAAATGAGTCCTCCTACTACAGCTATTCATCCTACTCCTACCGATATTGATCCCGAATCCGGTGGTGACGATTCTACACCAAGAGCTCCTAAAAGGCTGAGATCTTATGTGTGGAATTTTTTCGAAAAGATAAACGTCACCAGGGATGAACACGGTAAGCTTCTCACCCAAAAGGCTAAGTGTGTGTTATGCAGCCATATATTCTAAGCTCATCATAAGAGCGGCATCAACCACCTCAAACGTCATTTAGATAAACACAACAAATGTCAGTCCTCTCAAGGTGATATCCGACAATCTATGCTCTCCCAATCCTCATCTTCTGGAAGCACTGTTTTAAATATCGACCGATAATCGATATTATCGGCCGAGTTATCGGATTTGGGAGCTCTCCGCTAGGATAAATTGGATTTTTAATCGGTTATCGTTTTTGTAGGTTTATCGGCGATTTATCGGCGTTATCGGCACTTATCGGCCGATAAGTAAGAATTTTTTATCGGGATTATCGGGATTATCGGCCCATTTTGACTAACATTATATTTTTTCAAGGCTATGATGCAAGTTTCGCTTTCTACAATTTGTTAGTGATTCTAAACATGATGATTTATATTTTGGTATGTTTATATTTCATTAAGCATGATTAGATTATATTTTTTAATTGTTATATTATATATACACATCATCCAGTATATCACTCCGATAAATACTACTTATCCCCGATATATCCCCGATTTCCGCTATCCGATAAGGATTTTGGCCGTCCGATAAATCCCCGATAACCGATATTTAAAACCTTGTCTGGAAGTCTAGGTAGTTGGAATTATGACGCAGCCTGAGCCAAGAAATACGTCATCAGGTTTATCATTCATAAAAATCTTCCTTTTAAATTAGTAGAAGATGATGAATTTAAAGATTTATTTATAGAAGGTTTTTTACCCCGCATTTAAAAAAAAATCTCGTCAAACTTGTCAACGTGATATTTTAAAATATTATCAGGAGAAACAAGGAAAAATAATTTCTTATTTTTAAAGTTTAAACAGTAAATTTTCTTTAACTTCTGATATTTGGACATCGAAAGCACAAACTGGTTATTTATGTATCACAACACACTGGATTGATAAAAATTAGCAAATATTTAAAAGATTTATTTCCTTTATTGCATTTGAAGAGTCACATACTGGTATTAATGTTACAAATTTAATAATTAAAGAACTTTTAAAATTAAAAATTTTAGAAAGAATATTTTTCTCTTTCACTAGATAACGCAAGTAGTAATAATGTAGCTGTTGATTTTATCAAAACATCTCTGTCATTGCCATGTAATGATGATCTTTTTCATCATAGATGTATCTGTCATATTTTAAATTTAATTGTTCAAAGTGCATTTAGTGAAATTAAACCTATGATAGAAAATATTAGGTCAGTAACTTATGCTCATAATGCTTCTGAACAAAGAATTAGAAGATGGAAATAATTCTGTAAAAAAAATATAAAACCCAGACTAATTTCAAAAGATGTTGATCATAAGTGGAATTCCACCTATGCAATGTTAAGTATAGCATTAGAATATAAAAAAGTTTATAAATGATTTTATTGCTTTTTATACTTCTAGTTCTAGCTCTGGTAGCATGTATGGAATAACTGAAGATAAATGGACAGTTATAAGTAATTTAAAAGAGATGTTATAAGTTTTTTATGACGTTACAATGTTATTATCTGGCTGTTATTATCCAACCATTACTTTAGCTGCTTTACAAATTTTAAATATTCAAAAAAATTTAATAAATATAGTATGGATGATTATTTTGGAAATATAATTTTTCAAATGAAAAGTAAATTTAATAAATATTTTAGGCATATTCCTCTAATTTTTGGTTTGGGGGTTCTTAATTATCCGTGTTTGAAGGATATTGCCCTTAGAAGTTTGTTAAATTTCTTGTATGGTGGACAGATTATAGACATTGATATTGGTCAAACCATTACTGCTACTACTCATCATAATACTATTAGAAATTATTTTTAAAGATTATATGATGAGTACGCAGCTAAATATGGTGTAGCTACACATCAGTCTATAGCTTCGGCTTCTTCGAGCTCAAGTCGGGGTAAAAGTGTAAGTTTTGATAGATATGCAATGGTAGCTGAGCTAACTAATAGATCTGGACTTGGATCATCATTGGAGGTTTCTGAAATTGATCAATATTTAACTGCATCTTTAGTTAAATATCAAAATAATAGTTTAGATATTTTGCAATGGTGGGAAGTATATAAAACAGTTTCATATCCTGTACTTTTCATCATGGTTTGTGATTTACTAACAGTCCAGGTTTTCACGGTAGCTTCGGAATCCGTCTTCAGCACAGCCGGACGTTTGATCGATGACCATATGACATCGTTAGATCCGTATACTGTTTAGACGATGATGTGCTTACAAGATTGGTGGGGGTGCAAGAAGAGAACGCAAGGAATTGATCGAATGGCTAATATTAAAGATAAATTTTAAGAGTTGGGAGTAGCAGATAGATATAAAGAGTAAACAATATTCATCAAATCGTAATTTTTATTTCTTAGCTAAAAATTTATAATAAATTATTTTGAAAATAGTTACAAATGATAGTGATATATGTGAGTAGGTGCCAACCTAGTTGGGATGTACACATCTATTGTGATGCGACGAATTCGAAAATAAATTTATAATTGTAAAAGATTTACTGATTATTAATAAAAAAGTTATTTTTATCATTTTAATTTTTATAATTTTTTATATTTGTAATTTATGTAATTTCAAGTGATTAATAATATTATTGTTTTTTATTAAAATTTTGTGTAATTTTTTATGTATTATTGAAAATTTAAAGAGAGAAAAAATTTGAAAAACAAAAAAAAACAGGCCGGGGTGGGCCCGCTCCCGCCCGACCCGACCCGTTTGGACACCCCTACTTGTAGCAACATGAGAGCAACTAAAGAAAAACAACGAAGTACATTGAATAGTGTCAAGATCATTAAAGGAATATCGGAATGTTCATGCATTCTCACTATACACTGAGCCAACATACAAAGGTATATACATGATAATGGTAGAAGTGCCGACACAAGTTGCTCCCGAGTCAACATGTTTTTTCCCTCTGCCAGATTTACATGGTAGAGGGAATTCAGTTTGGGGCTGCTTCCCTTGCAAGTTTTGGGGATTTTGCGCAACCCAAAATTTAGGGGTCGTGAAATTTACCATTGATGGTAACGCGTCGTTTGGTACGCGGGAATGGGTGGTAATGGAATGCTCATTCCTGTTTTTCATCCATGCATACCAAACATAACACACTTTTAGAAGTTAGAATATGACCATTCTCACTTCTCCTTCATTCCCATTAAAGTGGGAATGAACATTCCCAATGAGATGGTACGGAATGAGCATTCCCACTTAAATGGGAATAAAAAATTTGCAATAATATCTTGATTGTTTATTAATTACACATACCAAAGTATAAAAGATTGTCATTCGACAGTCCCATTCCATTCTCTGATTGCATCCAAATGTGAGAATCTGAATTAGCATTCCATTCCCACATCTATCCCATTCCATTCATATCTTCATTCCATTATCACTTGACTTCATTCTCGTGTACCAAATGAGGCGTAATAGTGTATATATATTCAAGTACATAGCCGTAAAATTGTCTAGATCATGTCGTGTGCGAAGCATGTGACAACTTAAACCAAACTGCCATCAGCCATGTTATTTTAGTGAGATAAGTTAAGAGAGTTTCCTATATTTATAAAGTCCGGCGGGGTTTTATGAAAAATACCCCAAAGTTCTGGAGATTTTGTGAAATTTATCCAAAATATCCAAGACAGATAAGCCATAAAACCAAGGGCTTCCTTTCAGCCTACGACTTTTGATCAGACCAGAGATAATGTTAGACAAATGAAACTTAATATCACCAACACAATCACAACCAAACATTATGATGAACCTTACATTAGGCTACTTAAAAACATTATTTCTATGACGAGCCTGGGCCCTGTGCTCAATAGAACTAACACATCATTCTATCACAGATACCATGTTCAAAGGTTATAGTAAATACTAAAAAAAAAATTTGAAACACTTAAACATAAAGTCATAGCTTTGATTGTATGAGTACTTGTGACTTCTTTTATGTCTATGGAAGTGAACTCAATAACTGGAGGCCCATGTAAAACTAGAAAAATGCTCACAATTATGCATGTTAATTCAATTCACTAGATTAAGAGCATGTAGAAATAAGAAAAGAATATCAATATGCCATAAGGATTTCAGCTTTGTTAATGCAAAGTGTTAATCATAATAAAGTCAGGATTTTGTGTATTCCATAAAACTATAGAATAAATATAATTTCCTATTTCATGTTCTGCTTGTTTTTTACATCTACTTTCAATTAAAACTAATATGACGTGTAAGCCCCACTTAATCTTACAAGTCTATTACAGATCAGAAATTATTTGTACAGCAAACATATCAAAAGGAATATATAAAGTTTCCTAATGAAATTTGTTCATTCTGTAGAATTAGTACTATTTTAAAATAAAAATAAACCTGATGTAGAAAACAAACACAATCAAACATACAACATCCCCACTTCCCCATAGCACATGCACTTCTAGCCCAATAAATAAATCAGAAAAACAAAGTTTCTTCACCAACAATACAAAACTCTTGACACAAAAAGATGGCCATGTGTAAGTATTCATAAGATTGCAAACATATGAGCACATGAGCTAAGACATTCACAGATCTATTATCTATACGTGCTACAAAATATGCATGACTTCCATATGGCAACTTGAATAACTCAAAATCCCCTGAATGTGTAACAAAAGAAAGAAAAAAGAAAGCATTAACCGAAATCATACCTCCAACCTCCTCATGAACATACATAAAATGATTTCCTGAAAAAGATATATGTTGCAGCAAGATGTTGTCCATTCAAGTATAGCAACACATTATGGAAAGTCTATCCCTGCATCAATTCCCTATAGTGAAGTACTGGTGATTCCAACTGATTGGTAAGAATTTTTTTTTTACTTCAATTTTCATATAAATTGCTCAAATTTAATGAAAAGTTATTCGATACGAAAAACAACTCTACAATCTACATTTTGTGTAGATTGCTATGCGTTATGATGGATGAATGAACACAACTGCTAATAATATAATGCACAGTACACAATATCTAGAGTCATTTTTTATATTAAATAATTTTTTATTGGAATTTGAACAATTCATGTAAAATACACGTCAAAAAGATTTTTTTTATTACCAATCAGTTGAAGTCACTCGTTCTTTATCATAGGGACTTGGTCTGAGAAGAAAATTTACATATCATGTCGCGTTAGACTTGAATTGACAACTTCTTTTGTCATCATTTGTCTTTTAGAAAATCGTCATATGTATCTTCTGGTTGTATGTATCTTCTGGAGGAGGTTGGAGCAATGATTTTGATTAGTGTTTTCTTTTTTCTTTTCTTAGCAGAAGGGGATTTTAAGTTCTTCATACTTCAATATGGAAGACGAACATATCTTGCAGCCCACCTAAAGTCACACGTATCTGGTAGCCCATATAAAGTCACACAAAACGTGTCATACGAGACTTGAACTGACAACTTCTCTCATCAACCTTTCTCTCTCTCAATTCACCAGTCATCTTTTTTTACAATGCAGTATTGGTTTATCGACCCTCTCTGAAGAAACATCAAGTTCCCCTCTAAAAATTCTACATCTCTTCACAATCAACATCGG